CTCACTTTCCTGAGTTTGACATTATATGTCCTAACATTATTAATTATATTATTTCTCTAAACTGATCTCTTCTCACTTTCCTGAGTTTGACATTATATGTCCTAACATTATTAATTATATTATTTCTCTAAACTGATCTCTTCTCACTTTCCTGAGTTTGACATTATATGTCCTAACATTATTAATTATATTATTTCTCTAAACTGATCTCTTCTCACTTTCCTGAGTTTGACATTATATGTCCTAACATTATTAATTATATTATTTCTCTAAACTGATCTCTTCTCACTTTCCTGAGTTTGACATTATACTTCAGCTGGACCGTTGTTTTATTATCATTATTGGTATTATTTATTTTCAGGTTGTTTCACACCTTTCTTCAGTAACCTGAATTAGAAAACAATATTTGATTATGGAGTTTTAAACATAGTTTTATACGAATGATTACTGAGTCATCTTGATTCTGAAGTAGTATTATATTATTTCATTGACTAGTCAATTAGTTCAAAGCTTTGTCTATTGGGCTTGTGTTTCAACAACGAAAATAGAGGACGAGAGAACTAAGAAACAAATGAAATTGTTGTATTAAGGGGTGAAATTCTCAAAAAAGGAAAAATGTAGAGGTACTCAGCTGGATGAAGTGGACCTGTTTTTGAAAATGAAAAAAAAAATCTATGTGTAAGCATACAAAAATAACAATATGAATGTCAATGAATAAATGCTTTCTGACGGAGCAATGTAACGCACGCGCATTCGAAAAATCAGCTCAAATAAGTCCCGGTACTAGTACCGCCTTACAAAACACGTTCCAGTGAGTACCGGCAGAATTTCACCCCTAGTTGTATTAACGTCTACTATAAACTTATGCCTATCAATAAACAATAGGTAAGATGACTTGTAGAACTGGTAGCCAAAGAAATAAATCATTTTATTTCTTTAGTTATCGTTTAATGGACTAGACTTTGCATTCTTCTTTTTTGGCGGATAATCCAAAAGAACACACCTAACAATAGAAACCATTACAACATTTAAGCGAAACTAGTGAAAATAAACGAGTTAATATTACCCAATGAATTGGACATGGCACGAAAAGGGTGTGTTAATTAAAACTCAGAACAATGAACAAAATGTAACATACTGTGAGTAGTGCAACAACAACGTAAAAAGGGTTAATACCTAGCATTTGATAAGAATGCAAACAAAATTACAATTCCAGAGAGGGAGGAAGAGGTCTACGCTGAACCTGACCCCCCCCCCCCCGGTCCCAAACATGAACCAAATCCCGATGAAGATGATGATGATGAACCGTTACAACGATACCATCACATTTGGAATTGATAGTTTTTAATTAGTCCCCCGGTAAGCTTACAGACTTACGACGCTAAAGTCCAGGATTCGATTCCCCAGGCGGATAGAGTGCAGATAACCCATTGTGATATGGTGACCAAGAAACACGTTCATATCAATACTCCAAACACTCCTGTTTGTGAATCAAGGGGATACACACCATTGGTCGTCTTGCATTGAGCCCTTTTTCATGCAGCCTCCTGCTTATCATTGAAGCTGATAGCAACCTCTCTGTGGCCATACAGAGATCCAAAGACAGTTGACGTGGTGAAGAGGATCTGTTTTGTTGCCTCAAAAGTGACACATAATGGTCACCCTGCTGGGGTTGTGACCTGCGGTTGACCATAAAAAACAACAACAAATAATTAATTAAAATACAATGACAGCAATTGTTACAGAAGGTGAGTTCTGGTTTTGATAACTACAATGTTTCGATCCATAGTATTACAACTTTCTAAACATAAAAATCAGAATTTGCCTACTGTTAAAATGCTGTTATTCTATTTTGAATTAATTATTCAGTTCAGTAGTTTTCTCGCTAAACACTAAACACATTGTTAGTTAAGGTCAATAATTGCTAACACTATTCAGTATTATTCGTACTAGGAAGACTTCAATGCTATTTTATCTCTCACATAAACTTGACATTTTCTTTGAAATTAGTTTTTTATCATTTCCCCCCCTAATATATTTACTATTATGCACAGGACAAACATCCTGCTTAAAAATAATTTTAGAGATCTCTCCACTTCATCAATTTTCAACAATAGAAAGGATGCAACGATTAAGACACTTGTGTTGTTTGTTATAGAAATATATTTAACAATTTAACATAAGAAAATTGAGTATCGACACAAATCACTTTATAATAACAATATTACTAGATGACGCACCCATTCCACTCACGATGAAGACACAGGGGTCACAAGAAGTGATATAGGAAAAGCCAGATCTGAACACTACCCATCTTCCCCATGTCACTACCTAGGATACCTTCGAAGTTCGGTAAAGATAAATAGAATAACAGGGGGGGGGACATATAATGGTCTTCCGGGGAGTGACATGAGGGTGAGACCAAATACCAACCCTTATAACACTAAGATGCATACCTAATGTTGTTAAGATCGGTCAAGTGTGAAAGGCGGACACACAGACAAGCAGTAGTCCCCTCTGGAATGACATGAGGGTCGGATCCCAAACGCTTATACTCCAATGACGCTCCTCGGTGGACTCTCAGAGTACATGTTATGATTGGTTGAAATCGTTCAAAAAGTGTAGGCGTGACAAACGAACACACAGACGACACTTCTTTATATATATATATCTGTTTTGACGTAACTGTTCGACGCACAGGGTGGAGGGAGCAATCCGAACATTGGTCCGTCTATGTTACTGCCCAGGAAGCCCTAAAGGTACATGCCAGGACCGATGTCAAATAATGGTTTAGATTACAGATACACTGACAAAAATGAAACGTATACGACGCTATATAAAAGCGTAAGTATGAGAAACAATTGAAAATTCTAATATTTACGCGCGTAAGGATTTTTCTTATCCCTAATTTGTAGCAACTTTCTATACCACTTATTATATTCACTACTTGTACCATTTTTACTCGTATTTCCAGTATTAAAATGCCTTCTATACACCAATACGCACTACAGAAATTAAATTATTTTTGACTGTTTTCATACTTTTCTTCAAGAACCTAAATTTGAAAACAAGATTTGGTTAAGGAGTTTTTAATTGAGTTTTACTACTAATCCACTTCGAAACTTGGAGACAGCCCCTTAAAACCTAATATATTTGGCACATGTTCAAATGCTGTAATATATGCATATTTAATCATATTTGATATATAAAAAATACGAAAATCTGTCCCGGGAAGTACATTCCATGTGTCTCGCTATCTTCACCAAATAGATGTGTGTGTGTGTGTGTATATAGGTGGTACATGCGCTGTTACACATGCTTGAAAGTGAATGATCATTTTATAAAGATGAATTGGTTTAATATATCGTTGACTATCTGTTTATCGTCAATCAGGATATCTGGCCTTTCTTACTGCAAATCTAGTTATAGGCATTCTTGAGATAAGGGGCCATCATGAGACGAAGATGTAAATATTTGGGACGGTATTATTTTTGCTGCTGCTAGGGGTGATTGTTGATGACTTCCTAATATAATGGCAACAGTAATAATGCAAAGTAACTAAAAAACGACTGAAGAAAAAGATAAACATTAAGATTTCTTATTTAGTGTTATACTGTTGCAACTTTTTTTAAATTTTCACCATTTTCGAAACTTTATTCTTAACTTCTCGATAAAATAAACTGAATGTGCATGACATTAGATGATAATGTGATATAATGTTTTACATTCTTAGTACTAGATGGCAGCACATGAAATATAATTCAATTTCTGCTCCACGTCAACATCTCGAAGCACGAAAAAACGATGTTTGAATTTCAAAAAGGAAGTTTGTGATAGTGAATATTTTTTCAGAAATGGTAGGTTTATTAATTTGGTTCGTAATCATAAGTAATCACTGTCTAACGCAAAAGTATATTCATCTGTTGGTGTAAAAAAAGTAATCTATTTTAGGTACTTACGTAAATAACAAAAATCCTTCATCATAGTATTTACATGCGTTTCACCTGTTAAATGAAATCGTATGTATCCCTAACTCAGAAGTAGATTTTATACAATAATGTGTAAAAATTCAGTCTTACTGTCTTCTCCAACTCCTATATATATATATAGTCAAAGTTATAGTTTATATGTGGTTGTTGAATGGTATTCATTAATTTTAGGCTTTCAAACCGAAACACCATTACTAACCATGAAGTTGGAGTTCAACTTAAAGCCGACATCTGTTTTATTTCGACATAGTCAAAAATTAATTCTTTTTATTTTTTATTTTACAAATCACATTAAGCCATTTGTCACAATCCAGTTAACATAGAGAAAACATAAGATATGCTTATCTAAAAAGGATTAACATGCCGGCATAGCAAGAGATCCTTATTCGAAAGGATTTGACATGGAAACAAAGTTGGTGATTTTATTCGAAACGGATATGACCTGGAGATAAAGTAAGATATCCTTCGCCAAAAACAAATAACACAAAAACAAGATAGGATACCTTTACTAAAAATGATTAACTTGGAGACAAAGAAAGGTATCCTTATTCAAAAAGGAAATGACGTAGACACAGAAAAACATTTTTTTTTAAATAATTAACATGAATCAGGGCCGTAGGATCAGTGCTTGTTTTAATTCAATATATTACGTTGTGTGTATGCAGTATTTGTAGTTAAAATGGCTCAATATTCAATATTATAGCATTAAATTTTCACAACTATTCTGGGGAGCATTCCCCCAGACTCCCCTAGAAATGGAAATGTGGCAATGGCCTGACCACTCTAAAATTGCTTCCTAAGGCAATATTAATAGATAGTAGATATCCTTATTCAAAAAGTATGAAAATAGCGACAAAGCAAAATACCTTTACGTCACTGATAGATCTGGGAAGGAGGGGGGGGGGTTTAAAGGATGCAAATATATGTTTTATGTATGCAATAAAAGTTGATAATCATGAAATAATATATTGACTTACAGTTTTGTTTTTCCTGAGATGCTTGAAAATATGCTAAGACTTCTAAACATTACTTGTCCACTTGTTTGTCTGTTTGTAGTTAAGCACAAAGCTACACAAAGGGCTATCTGTGCTCTTCCCAACACGAGTATCGAAACCCGGTTTTTAGCGTTGTAAATCCGCATACATACTGCTGTGCTACTGGTATGCGTGTTGTGGGGGATGCGTGTCCACTTGTAACTGCGTGCATTTAATATCTTTTTATCATTGTTTAAAACTTCATTTGCAGTTCAAAAGGTATGTAGTTTTGTGCAGGAAGAGGTAGTTTTTATCTCCCTAAATTTTGAAAACAGGCGAGCTTCCGAGTTATTTACTCCCATAGACTCTGCTGGGATCCTCGGGTGGGCCCCGGACGTCTGACTTAAGATGTCTGCCCCCACCTTCACTATATATACACACACACAAACATAAGTTCTTATGATCCGCGGCTGTTTTATACTTTAATTGAAAAAGATTCAAATTAATACAAAGAAACATCTACATTGAAAAAAATAATAAAATGGAGACTAAGTAAGACATCCTTTTCAAAAAAGAAATAACTACTAACACGGTTTTTTTGTCGGTGTTATTAAATTAAATTTTCTACTTCAGAACTTCAAAGTTTTATTGTAATAAAACGACTTTTTTTCTTTCTGCAGCTAAACACGCCTAGTCCACTAAATTATGACCCACAAAATATAGACATAATATCGAAATATCCAAAACAGACAGCAACCGGAATCTGTATGTGATATTTAGTAAAATGAGGACATAAAGTAGCAAAAAATTTCAAAATTAGTAATGTTACGACATACAATGATAAACCTGTAAGGGATCGTAAAACCAATTTCACTGGGACAGGACGTAATTCCTAATGATCACAACATTCAACATGAATAGTTATCCACATACTTTACTGGAATCGCTGAGGTTATTGCAGAGCTTAATAATACTGTAATCGAAATGACGTATGTGTAAGTAGCTTAATATGTATATTATGTTAAATACTTCCATTTTGTACTGCTTAATCTGTTCTAAAATTTAGAGAAAATTCCAAACACTAAACCGCGCGCTCATAACGTGACCTCAAACTCCCTCTGGCTCAATAATAACCCAAATGTCTAGATTAAAACCACAGCCTACGACGGTATAAACGTTTATTGTAAACTTAACAAAACAAAGTAAATTAAGTGAGATGGAGATGTAAAGTCTGAAAAACAAACAACAATTCCGAAAAAGAACAGGAGGAATGTTTAATGAGCTGATGATGACAAAACCTTGTCGAAACGTTGTACATTTGCTGTTATATTAAAGTTTTTCTTCATTACCCGGGTGGAGACTCTGGAGTTCAGTCAGAATCATCAAGGCAAGCTGGATATAGACAACAAGAAACTTCTGAACAATGTCAAACCAGACTTCAAGCACAAAAATTAAGAGAAATAACTTACAGAGAGCAAGAAACAGAGGAGCAACATGATGTACGACTTTAGGCTCAAAGAACAATACAAGATCAAACACGATCTGATTTCAAATAAAGCTTTGTTTGATTAAATGCTTTTTTTATTTCTCGCATCACAGCTTTTATCTACTTACTGAATAATTTGCTGAAAACAATACTGATCTATACATTTCAAATCTAAATTTTCACCGTGCAACGCCGGGTAACTCAGCTAGTAAATGTTTATTTTGTGTTTGAAATACTCGATACGCAAGAACCACAGTTCCAAGAACCAGAGAAATCTATGTTTAATATTAATTTGTTATTTTCCTGATGCTTCATATAGCTTCAAGCCAGACTGTGGGACAGCGGTAAGTTTATTTACAACGCTAAAATCTGGGGTTCGATTCCACGAGACGGACACAACAAATAGCCCAATGTGGCCTTGCTCTAAAACAAATAAACCAGAGCTTTAACTTTTGTTTGTTTGAAGTTAGGCACAAAGCTAACTGTGCTCTGCCCACCGGGTATCGAAACACGGATTCTAGAGTTGCAAGTTATATAGCTGTGCCACTGGGGGACATATATACATTTAATTAGTGTAGAGAGAAAATGTCTAGGAACGATCAAACAGTATTTTTTCAGTCAACTATAACTATAACGAAAATGTTTATCAACGAACATAAATCATATCAGTTAATGATAAGTATAACTATAACTAAAAAAATACGTAAAACGATAACGTAATAGTAACGAACAAAACAGCGAAAATTATTTAGTTATTTGACATACACCCGCGTGCGTTGGGGACAAGCGGTATGACTGAAATCTTTGTGTATGTGAATAGAATGCAGAATACAGTCATGTAGCTAAGCCGAATGTATGTTTACTGACGATTTCTGCAAATAGTCCCAAAGACATAATAATCCCCCCCCCCAAAAAAAATACCACTGTATAGTTTTGTTTTCATTTATTAAGATCGTCGTCCGTCGGTTAAGTATTATAATAATAATAGCTAAAATGATATGTAGGTTAATAACTATTAGTAACTAATACTAAAGATATAAATCCTTAACTATAAGTACAACTGAAAAACACTGCAATCGAACTGAAAACCTATTAAACATTCGCGGCAGACAGATAACAGATAGCTCATTATCTTTGTGCTGTTCAACAGTTTCTTGCTGTCTTTGAGTAGTCTGTCTTTCAGCTTGAGCTCGAAGTCTAACTTTACGTTGTTCCAAAGTCTCTTCCTGTATTTGAGCAGCCTGTCTTGCAGCTTGTGCTTGAAGTCTTTGATTGCGTTCTTCTTCTGTTTCATCTGCTCTTTGTGCTTGCATTCTTTTAGCGGCAGAAGACTTTCCATAGAAAGGGCGTTTCTTGTGTGGCATAATCACCTGTATCACTAAACAATAACTTGCAATTCACAAAGTTACTAAATCATTTATGAAACCACTTGGCACTATTTAAAGAAAACTGTTTTTGGAAATACTGAATTGACAGCCATAATGCTTTCTATGTGCAAAACGTGCTTATGTTTGTATGTTTATTACAAAAAAATGGTGCAATAAGGGAAAAGATGAAGTAGGATGGTTTGTAAAATTCTTGAATTTGAAAAATAAGAGAGAGCCTTGTTGGTTTATGTATAATTATAGATTACGCTAACATGTATCAGTATCTAATAGTCACTCTGAATTGTTGTAATTTATGTACTAAGTTGATAATAATTGTATAACTATATATTTATTTACTATGGTGACAGGATAAAAAATATATTTACCACTTAGAGGTTTTTTCCCAGTCATGGCTTAAAAAGTGGAAGACCAATCGAGATGATGAACATGAGACTTAATGGTATGGTTTATCCACAGGCACATTTTGACCCCAACATTGACCACCAATAAGCTGCTGCAAAACTTACTCATGCTGTGCATAAATCCTAGCTTGTTTGTCCTTTGTTTCAAATTAGCACAACTTTGAAAGATTTATTATTTAGTTCATGCAGCAAGGTTTGTTTGTATTTATAACATAGTGGAGACTGTAGTTTCAAGTTACATTATGCAGTTATTCTAGAAAGAAAATAGGGTATTTTAGATTTATTTCTTATTTTTTATGATTGTTACAAACTCAGTCAAATTGACTGAATGAGTGTAGAGGTAGGGTAGAGAAAATAACAGATAAATATATAGTTTTACTGAAAAAGAATTTTATATTTATTCAAGAGGTTTTGGATATGCAAATGAAATTTGACAGTTTTCAGATGAAGAAAAGTGTTTTTAATACTAACATGAAAATCACTTTGCACTTGAAGCAGTGAACACTTCAACTCCATATATCCACAGAGAAATGTTTAGTAAAAATATTTAATTAAAAATTCTGAATTTGTGTCTACAAAGATTTGGTATGTTTATTGAAAGCTTGCCAAATTTTATGTA